GCAGGTCATTTGCAATCATTTAAAGTCATTAAATCAGTCCTTAAAGGCACACTATGCAACATTTTTCAGTTAATTAATGTGTTCCATAACGTTTTGGATGATTAAATGAGTCATTTCAGGTTGAACAAAGGTTTTCTCGGCCGCCCTGGTGGTCTGTAGGGGAAATACCGCACTTGCAATTGCAGGAGCCCTCAGCCCGCACCCACAGGCTCAGAAGTCTCGCGAGAGTCGGTCTTGCTTTACGGCGAGAACTGCTGAACCCCCCCAGTTAAAAGCATGCTCGTTGCTAGCACAGTGGCGATATTTGTGCAGTGCTGCTTTCACACCGGATGCAGCAAAAGCAGCAAAATCGCGTCTGCTGCTTCATTTTTGCTGCTTGTACCAGTTAGTTCTGAGGCGCGGCTGAAGCAGCTTTGCTGCTCTGGCTGCGCGGTGCAAAAGTGTGTCTGACGTGCGTTGGGCGGAGCTTCACCATTCTTTTTTCTGCCTTGCAGCTATATTTGCTGTGATCAGCGGGAATAAAGTAGTTTTAATATGTTTTTAAGCGAGAAAATACACCTGAAAACGTAATCAGTGCCGTCAGTTCATTCAGATTATCATCCTGCCTTACAATATTTTTTCTGTCGGAGCCGCTCAGACCCCCACATACCAGCGGTGCGCCGACAGTAGGAATCCCTTCATCAGCAGCCTCTGGCCGGGTCGCCTCCTCGCGGTTCACCGCGGCAGCTGGTAGGTGTTTTTCATCTAAATAATCCAAACTGCAGGCAGCAGGATAATAAAAGCGAACGTAGCATTAAACGCGCCCGACGCGCGGCTTCGCGCCTGCTGCTCAAAACGCGCCGCGGGACCTTTTGCTGCGCCTTGACGCGCGTCAACCATTGACTTTGCATGTAAACTCGCTGCTTCTGTCGCGCCAGCTGCGTCCAGTGTGTGCATTCGTTGCGTTCGCCTGTCTGCTAAGCTCAAAACAACCGCGCCTGGCTTGACGGAGAAACCAGGAGAACAGCTGTGCATATTTACGACAGTGCACTTTTACTTTCGCCCTCTGGGGGGAGCCTCGCTGGAAAATCAACACCGGTTGCATAGTGTACCTTTAATTGGCATTAAATTCATTAAATGTGATTATTGTGGCTTTTAAAATGCTTTATTTAAAAAAAAATAAAATAAAATTGGATATATTGTGTAACGAAATATTTGTGCAAAACTGCTTCTGGTTGATCTTAAAGCCGTATGTTCGAAAAAAAACTCAAGGCTGTTAAAATGAGGAAGTTATGTCCCCTAAAAAAGACGTTGCGCCTCGGGGGCTTCCTCACGGTTCTTTTCCTGGGAGCAAGTTATTTACTATTTTTAACTGAAACTGGGTAAAACCATGAAAAAAAGGACTATAAAACAGGAGTAAAAAAGTAACAGAGTTTATTCCAGATCAGGTCGTTACAGGACAGAGAAAATGCTTGGAGCTTGCACAGCTGTGGGCTCAAAAATCACGTCCGCGAACGTCCGGCAAAGATTTGAGCCCCGAAAAAGGTCATCTCCTCCTTCTTATAGCTCATGAGTCTATGCGTTGGATCATGTTGATGTTTAGCTGTCCGTATCAGAAACTGACACGCCATCCATGTCTTGAACTCCATGCAGCTTGCTTCTATGCCTCAGGGTTACAGATAGCTCTCCTCCAACAGTCCGGCTCCAAGATGCGCCCATATCCTGTGTATTCTTAAAGACATGAAGGCTGTCCTGATTAGATGACCTCCGTACACACAGTGACATCCACCATGTGAAGGAAGGCCTTCTACTCTGTCTAATCTGGCTAACAGAATAACAATGCACATGATGTATAAATAATAAACCTAACAAGGCGTAGAAAAAGCTAGAGAATTGGGAAACACAAATTTCAACAAAAGTGGCTGGAAAACGAATTCAGGACATGGCTGCAGCCTGTCGACCGTAAAGATAACAAAAGATTTTGCTGTGTATATATGATACTCATGGGTACTTGTTGATGGCATTAAAAAATTTCTTAGAGCATTAAAAAGCATTGAATTAGTTACACGTTGCTGTATAAACCCTATAAATAGTGTTTAGATCTGCTGAAATGCAGAGTTGGTAACTAGTGACATGTACTTGAGTAAAATTATAAAAGCAAAATAACTTATAGGGCTATATTACATGCTTCATACTTATTACTTTTTCTTGAGTTATATTCTTGTAAAACATCATTACTCCTGCTTAGCAAACTTACTGGCTGATCTGAGTTTCTCCAAGATCAAATGTTTTTGCATTAAATCTAATCAGTGGAAGGTATTACCTTTTCCTAACATGTTACCATTTTCACTGTGAAGATTAGTTTCATACATTTTTATATTGAGAAAAAAATTGACTTAAGTGTTTCTTTCGCATAGACTTTGTTTTTGCAAAAATAGATACAATACCAAAACTTGCACATAACATTTGTCTACATGATTTCTAAACATTAAGTTAGATTGATTCAGGATCAGTACTTGAGCTGCCTTTTAACGAAATATTTTTTATTCTTACTTGATTGACTGCCTTTACTTTAACTTGACAATATTTTTAAATAATTCTTTGTCGAGTATATGTTTGCGGTACTCTACCCACCTGCTGAAATGTGCATTTATAGCCCAGATGACTAGAGCGATGTGGCCGTTCTGTCGTATCTACCTGTATTTAGATTTTAGCATCTGTTGCCATTTTGATTTTTCTTTTCTATACCTGTTGTGTATCCATATTGGTACAGCGGCTTGAAGGGTTTAAGATTTCCCCCCTTTTGCTAAAGAATACATATTCCTTCAATTTTTACATGTTTTGTCTTGTTGCCGTGACAAATTGATTCTGTTTAGTGTGGGTTTTATTCGCATAGTTATGTTAAACAATAAACTGCCGTTTCAAACTTTCTAATCAACTCTGAGCAGCATGTCAGTCTCTGAAAGAAAAGCAGCATCATACCATGATGCTGCTTTTCTTTCTTGTTTTGGCTTTTTGCTTAAAAGGCCTTCACATACTAACTGAATTTATAAGGAACAGGTGTTTAAACCATGACGAAACTCCTGCACTCAATGCCGTTCACCCATGAATAATTTTTTATTTCATTTCACAATTACCTTCAGCTTTGTGTTGGTGCATAAAATAAAACCATTATAAAATATAATAGAGCTTTAGGTTGCATTAGGAGAATAAGGATGCCAATTAATCAGGATTAAGGCATTGTATTTAGCCACAGATGTGATTTATTATCTTTTTTTTTTTACATAAACTTACTCTCTTTCCATAAAGTGGAGAATTTCCCAGGATGACATTTTCACAATTAAACTTTGCTGTTTTTCTGGTTCGAGTGAGCTTCCTGTATCAGAGAGGATCTTTGCTGGTGGCCGACCCTTGTTGCTGCACAACTGAGAACATCTCCCAATCAAGATGACTAGCTTGTGTATAGTATAAGCAGTATATTCGCGGATGATTACCTTCATCGTATTCCAGCCAAAGTCCTAAACCAGGAATATTTTTCTTGTAGAAATGTGTCTTCTTGTGACTCTTTTAAGGTGGACTCTATTATTGCTGCCCGCTCTCCAGCACGTTATAACTTCCAAAAACCAATACTCTCAGGTCTCACTCACATTCTCCTGGAGCTCTGGGCTACAGCAGGTGTAATGAAAGTCAGATGCAGGTAGCTAAATGGCTAAAGGGCAGCTTGTTAATTCTATTTAATTATTTCTAATTAGGCAAATTTAATAAAACATACATTATAGATGACGAAGTACCAACCCTTGTTAAATTAATGAAAATATTAAAGCTGTGTGTCTTCAAACCCTTTAATGGTCCCAACCAAAGGTTCTGGTCTGTGTCGGATATCTGGTCGATGCTCCGACCCTCGAACCATGAATAGCAGATGATGAGTTATCTAAATAACTTAAACTGTTAGTGTTGCAATGAACAGAAACTGTGAATATTTTTGAACTCCTGTGTGATAATCCACCATTTGGGCCGCATTGATCCCCCTTCTGAAATAAATCTTTCTCTCCTGCGAAGCAAACATGCTGCTTTTCTTATCACAATAAAATCTTAGGGGATTGTACTACTTTCCTTGTATAAAACTATGAAATTAGTAGATCTAAATCTAAGGCTTCTATAATGAAAATTGAATCTCTGTTCAGTCTTTTCATCTGTAAAAAGGTGAAAGAAAAACGAAAATCTAAAGCTCTGTCAATAAAGTCTATTCGTAAGAATAATCCAGCTTACTGAATGAAGTTGCTACTCCACCTTAAACAGAAGAACATGATAAAATCATTGATAAAATAATAAAATCATGTATCACTTGTAAGCGGGATCAAATAACCTCTGCGCATTTCTGACGTTCACGTTCCTCTCATTCTTTAAAGTCATTTCTCTGAGGAGCTGCCGGATAGATCATCTATTAACAGCCAAACATCTTTTTCCATCGTTGCTCCGACTTTTACATCTCTTTTGTCCTTGCTAATTTGCCTTCTGCTTCCGTCTGCCCAGAACCTCCTCGTCAACCTTTATTGCTCATTTCACTTTCATCAGAATGGTGCGAGTGTGGGTAGCAATAACAAAACGTTTTGTTGGTATAGACGTAAGTGAGCTGAATTTTAAGTTAGACGCCTGCTTCCCTCTGTGTTATCTCTCTTTCCCACTCATGCAAACACACATCTGGTTTAATTACATTCACATTAGTCATTTTTTTATGATTTGTTTTGGCACTGATGTTAGATGAAATGCAACACTGAAACGACAGGAATTTAGAGATTTATTTTTGTAAAAATGCAAGAAAAGGATCTACTACATGAACAAAGTATGTGATAGAGGAAAAAGGAATTGAATAAAAACTCTTATATTTAAACATTTGTCATTTTTAACCATGTTTAAAATGTATTTACAGTCTTTGTAGGGAACAAAACCCTCATTATCATGCAATTAACAACAGATTTGACATGAGTGCAAATGTTGATGGTAATCTCTCTCGTCAACAGGGTCCCATAGACAATGACGCTGTGATTCATGTAGCCCTGGTAGCGGAGAGCCAGAGGTAAGATGTGTGTCGTTATGTGTAAATCTTAATGTGTGCTTCACCATAAAGGGAGGTGAGTTTGGGCTTCTTTCCTTTTTCAGCTAATCGTGGAGTTTGACCTCCAACGTCACACCATCATCTGTCACTCTGCTAATTATGTGAACTCATGTCAATGTATATGAATTCTTGAAAATGCGCGTGAGACAGCTGGGGTGTGTGTCAAATGGGGTCAAATGAGTGTGAAGCCTGTAAACCCTTAGCTTCAATTACTGCTGCTGAAAATGCGCCTGTAAGGACCTACATCATCATCATTACCATCTTTTCACCGCAGTTTGAATCAGTGGCTGCTGCACAGACGACGTGGGATTGACAGATTTATATTTCATCCATTTTTTTTTTAATGCATCTTAAGATGCAGAGCTTCATGTTTGACTTAAAAATCTCGATCATTGTAGAATTAATCAGAGCTTAATTGGGTAGTAAAGATAAATCAAATGTAGTGTCTATCACCTATGTGAGATGAAGGTACAGTTCTTACAAAAAGTATTTACATTGCTGAACTTTTTCCATAGTCATTTATCCTAAAAATATATTTATTCTTTCACTTAAAATCCAACACATAATACTCAATTATGTCAACAAGGGAAATGTATATTTACGATTGTTTCAAATTGATCAAAGATAGAAAAGTAAGGAATATACTTACAGCTTCTACCATGAAGCCCCTCATTCAGCTTAGGTCATTACAGTTTTTACCGATTATCCTTTAGATTTTTTCCAGTTTAAATAATTCTTTGAAGTGCCCAATCAGCACAATGGCTCAGTTAGCAACCATTATTTTTCATCAGGGTCGAGCTTAAATTTAAATGAACATTTGGCAAGATCTGAAAATGGCTGTGCATGGAGATCTCCCATCCAGCCTAATGGAGCTTGAGATGCACTGCAAAAAAAAGCTTGAATTGCCGCAGAAGTTGGATCAATAATAAGAAAAAGGCTGTGAACACTTACGTAAATTAGATGCCTTGTGTTTCTGTTTGTAACAGATATGCTACAAGCTGAAAATACCCTTTTTCACATTGTTAGAATGTGGATTGGGTTTAGAAATTTGGTTGAACCAATTAGACTTTTTTTTTAGTTCTGTTTCTAATCTTTGATTTTAGGATTCACTGATCCTAAACGGTTATAAGTAAAAATAACTCATGTCGAAAGATCGCCACGTAAACATTCTTAACTGAATTTACTCCCAGAAAAATTATTGTTCATTAAAGTGCTCATAGAATGATTCTATAGGGTATTTGGACCTTTAGGTCTCTGAATAGGGTGTGTAACATTAGTTGGGCTGAAAATGGCATATTTGCTGTTCTATGAGCCCTAATGCAGCCTGGTTAAAAGCCCCAGAATGAAACGACAACTTTTCTTCCTTTTATCGTATGATAATGAATATTTAGATGAGCTGTGCTCTGATTGGTTGGTTTACAACAAGCGAAGCTGCTGAGGAAAGACGCATCACAGCAACAAGCACTCACTCACTGAAAGGTGACCAGACATCTTCTTTTTCCTGGACATGATCTACTTTTAATACCTAAAAAAATGTCTGGGGTAAATTCAAAATGGTCCTGGTAGACCACAGTCCACTTCGCGGGCATCTGTGAACAACTATCTATATCAGGGAGACTCCTAGCCTCGTGAGACCATCCTGATCTCGCGATCTTTCAAGGTTTGACTCGCTAATCAGTCTGGAGACTCTCCGTTGAAGAAAATTTGGAGCCGTTCACCAAACGAAAGTCCAATCAGCGTTGGCTTTGAGGCGGGTTGAGGTGTGACGCAACGAGAAGCGCGACAGTTCAGTCTAAAGAACATGGCGGCTTCAGCCGATGAGGCTTTTCTCAGAGGAAAAGATGTTTTTGCTCTTCTCACGACTGGTTTCGGCAAGAGTAGCCTGGCTTGTTGTTGTGTTTTCGTCGTCGCTCTGTTAGTACGTCATATGCTTCGTTGATCTGATTGGTTTATTTGGCCCGTCTATCACCAACATAGGCCAATCAGCTAACCAGTATTTTCGCCCCTTCCCAAAATTACTTCAACAGAAGGTTTCCAGATGGATATGCGGAGCAAATCCATCTGGCGGAGTCAGGTTAGGAGACTCCCGGGAGACTTGGGATGTCCGTTACGGGCTCCAGCCCCCCTCCTCTGGCTGAGGACAGGCGGCTCATGGCTTTCTGCTGAGGTCTGGTCCAGTCAGCGGCCCAGGAGTCAACACTTCATACCCGCCTGCCCGCCCGGGGCATGACACAAGTACAGGCCAGAACCAAATAAGGCAACATCCCCGAGTTCAGGTCAACTCGGGGCTTCATTTGGATTTGCCCGTTTTAGGTAACAACTTTAGAATTGTGAGATTTGCAGAGAAAGGAGGTGTCGATGGGGTTTGAACTTCTCTGTCTATCCATTTCACCCACTGAACCATTGTTATTCATCAATGACAATGGAAACTCGGTTTTGCATTCTATGACCTCTTTAAAGGTATAGAGGCAATCTTTTATTTCCGGGTGGATCATCTAAATCTGTGTTTTTCAACCCTGGTCCTCAAGGCACCCTGCTCTGCATGTTTTTTGATGTTTCTGAGCTTTAGCACACCTGATTCAGATATTTGCAGTTCAGCAAAGCCTTATAATCTGCTATCAATTGATAACAGGTGTGTAAAAGCTAGGAAACATGCAGGGCAGTGTTCCTTGAGGACCAGGGTTGGAAAACACTGATCTAAATAAGTGTTTTGGATGAGTGAGGAAAAGCAGAGGAAATAAGTTATAAAGTGTAAGATCAGAGGTGGTGCTAACCATTTGGGAGTCCTTATCACAAATGGTGTATGGTGGCCCACACCTGGCATAATGTAATATTTTCATTCTGTTTTGCTTTATTTCCAAAATAGCCCATCTCTATTCATGTTTAAAAATGGTAACAATAAAAGTGTCAAAAAAGGTGTCCCCTTTTTCAGAAACCCAAATCTGGTGACCCTATTAGACTAGATTGTCGTATCCACCTCCCAAAAGCCAACTCTTGTCAAGTAAATTCACCAAATGCTGCCTTCTTCGCCTGACTCCCCAAAAACAATAAAATATCAGAATTACAACCAAACTTTTTGAATGTTACGGGCGCCGTCATGTAGATTTGCTTGTTTCCCTCTAGAGAGCAGTAGTACCGTAGATCGTCACTAGGAGGCGATTAACAGTGCAAGCGTGATGTGTAAACTGTCGTAAGGAACTGAGCTTGGCACGGTTAACTGATCCAAGATCCGTCCAAACTCGAAACGGAACGGTTTTCAGAGGGTAGTGTAAACGGGGCTAGTAGAGCCATATGCTGCAATTAATGTCTGTGTATGACTTTAAACTGACCTCAAAGGCCATGGCCACTCTAGTTGATGACATCGTACCGGAACACTAAAACAGTTAAACAACTAAAACATTAATATTGCTTGTTAAGTCTGCAGGGACTCAAAGTCATAGGGAAATCATATTTAAATGTCAAATCATTCTGGCTTAAACATATATATAAAGATATTCTTTTTCAGTAGATATAGTCCCAAAATGTTTTAAATTTCTATTTTTAAAAAGTCTTAAAGTCTGTGGGTGGGTTTCTTTGTTTTATGCACTCCAGTTGGTTATATGTCAGCTTGTACACCTAAATTCAGCCAATCATGTATCAATGATCATCTGTCAATCAAACCTTTTTAGTCATACAATCTTCATTCATATATCGCAGCTAATATACGCAACGGTTGAAATAAGAAATAAGAATCATTTACTCTTTATAACTTTACCATTGATTGTTCCCGGGGATGGACGTCTGTGTCTTCCTACGGCGTAGAGCTAACATAACTGCCAGCATTGCGAGGTCAAACATGTACGGCTGTAAGCCTTTTACACCAAACGAAGCTTCTGCCACCCTGGCGTCCTCTTCAACAACATCTTTGTCCCTGCTTTCCTGCTCTAAATAAAAAATGTATGATGGAGGAGACTCATCCACAACCTCTGATACAAAACTCTCCTCCTCCTGCATGTTTCTGCTGTCCATAGCGTTCCTTGACAGTGTTGTTTCTTAAGGGCGGGTTATACTTCTGCAACCGCACACATCAACCAGTTCAGGTATGCATCTGCACTGTCGGTCTGGAATTTCTAGGGACGCACAACAGTTTCCCCCCAAAGTGCAAGGGGGAGCTTATTCGAGAACTTGCTAGAACTTCGGTGGTTGGTCGCGAGAACTTAGCCGGCGCCGGCAAGGAGTGTTCCGCTCCAGTGTTCCAAAACAACAATGGCGCGTCTGCAAGATATCACTGGCACAGAGATGGATCTAGAGTTGCCGGACATCGAAGAGGAACAGGTTCTGTTAATGGAGCTGGCAAAAAAGACCAATTAACCTTTCGCCGTAGTTGTCCATTGTTTCTTGGTCTTTAAAAATGGTGCGTCCCAGCACCGAATCGAGAAGGACCACCAAACAGACAGCAAGAAAGGCATATGAAGGAGCAATCACAGCTGCTTGTTTGTCTGCACACTTCCGCTTGAGGTCTGCGCGGGTTTGCGACCGTCCGACTCGTATTCAGGATTTTTTTGAGGTGCACAACGATGGTTGCAGGACCTCTGTGTGGGGGGCATCACAAGCATAAATCGGCTTTAAGTCCCCAATTTAGTGCTACTTGGTCCCAATGTAATTTCCCATTGGGAACCTACTAGCACTAATTTGCCAACTGGTTAGCAACGATGCTCATGTCATCTCCCAATGGGATCCATGTTAAGAGATGGAGAAAACCCTGTCCAAACAAATGCCTGCCCTACAAACACTGTAAATGTTTGTCAAAAATGGTTTCAATGTGACCGACAGCTATCCTTTTACTTGGATTTTGCCAAATTTCATCTGTGTATGTCATTCAAACAAACTGGTTATGACGATGCAAAAATAGCTTATCAGAAGTGTTTTTGTGCACTCTGCTTGGTTGAAATGAATGTGAAAATGGGGAGAGATGGCTCCAGTTTGGGTCTGTCTGGAGGCCTTTTAAGGAAAGCACTGATGTAACACAAGGTTTGTAATGCAGTGCTGTAAATAGATAAAAAAAAAATTGCAGTTTGTTGACATGAAGCCTTTGTTGACGAGCACTGCTGGGGGAGGTAATGGCATAAGGTATGCAAAGGGTTGAAATGAACAGCTCTAGCTTCCAGTTGACAACCAGGTTGATATTAGAGAATCTTTAAAGCCAATTTCCTACTTGATGTTCTTTGCAGAGTATCGAAATTTAAATGAGCATATGTTCTTCAATTTCTTTTTGATTGTCACACTATTGAAATTGTTGAAAAGCTTAGAGTTAAGTCTTCTGGGATCTGTTAATAACTAAAAATTATACCAAAAAGACTTGGTTCTGCTTTTGCCATTTCCCCGTCACATATATTGTCTCATTGCATAAGGTTTGCAACTTGAGCTGGGCCATTGTATTAACATAATCATAATGGTGTCCTGCTCTTTTATATATATTAACCCTATTTCTATTTATTTATTTTTTTTCTCAAAACCTTTTTTGTTTACTTTGTCTCTTTAGGCTTCAGGTGTTTTTGAACACATATGGAATTCAGACCCAAACACCTCAGCAAGTTGAGCCAATCCAGATTTGGCCCCAGAAGGAACTTGTCAAGGTAAACTATGATTAAGCATCAACAAGTTTTGCAAAAAAAAAAAAAACATAGAGATCTCCACAATCCTTTCTACCGACTCTCTCAGCTGTCTTCCCAGCAGCAGTATTCATTTTTTAAAAGTTATACTTCCAAATCCATTGGTTTGTTTTTCTTTGAATTGTGTGTGTTTATTAAGTTGCCATTATATCATACAAGGCTTACTTGTAAGATGGTTTTGTCATAAAAGACAATGAAACACGAGCACCGATTCCTTCTAAAAAAACAACAAAAATATATATAATAGTATTTGGACTTATTTTGGAATTATCTTAGTATTTGGGTGACTTATTTTTATTTCCTACTGTCAGAGAGACAGCTGGGGGGATTAAAACAGAGCAGTGGAGCTCTGCATAAAGCAGTTTTCTTACATTGGCTACGTTCACACTGCAGGCCTTGATGATCAATTCCGATTTTTTTTTTTGACGAAATCCGATTTTTTTACATTGCCATTCATATTCCCAAATATATGCGACTTTTATATGATCTCCTGTGTTATCTGCAGTCATACAACGCAAGTCTCCCGCATGTGCTGTAGAGGACGCAATGCCATCACAGGCCTGCATGCTCTTTTTTTACGGAAGTAAACATGGATGGTAAAGCCGGTGCGCATCTTGCGGTCTTTTCCTAACCTGACTCCGCCAGATGGATTTGCTCCGCATATCCATCTGGACACCTTCCGTAGAAGTAATTTTGGGAAGGGGCGAAAATACTGGTTAGCTGATTGGCCTATGTTGGTGATAGACGGACCAAATAAACCAATCAGATCAACGAAGCATATGACGTAACAGAGCGACGACGAAGAGGAGCCAATTGATAGATCAAACTCTTGCGGAAAGCAGTCGGGAGAAGAGTAAAAACATCTTTTCTTGTGAGAAAAACCTCCAGAGCAGTGTTTTGCTCTTCTTTCAGTGAAGAAATACTCTGTAATTCCGATAAAACTTGCTCAATAGCCACGCTAACGCTAGTTGAAGCCGCCATGTTCTTTAGACTGAACTGTTGCGCTTCTCGTTGCGTCACACCTCAACCCGCCTCAAAGCCAACGCTGATTGGACGCTCGTTTGGTGAACGGCTCCAAATTTTCTTCAACGGAGAGTCTCCAGACTGATTAGCGAGTGAAATCTTGAAAGCTCGCGAGATCAGGAGGGTCTCACGAGGCTAGTCTTTTCCAACCATAAAAACACAATCTTTTCAATATGGTTAAACATAAATACTGCTCTTCGCGTCATCATCCGCAATGGTTGTTGTTTTTCTTGCCGCTTCTGCGTAGCAAGACACACAATAGTGACCTATGTCGGTTACTAATGTTGTTCCGGTCGGATGAATCCGACAATCTTTTGAAATGATCAAATTCGTATCGGATTCAGGACCACATAGCCAAGTGGCCTGGGTTGGATGGGAAAAAATCGGATCTGTGTTGTTCAGACTGCCATTAAAACATCATATTCAGGTGGCATATGGGTAAAAAAATCGGATTTGGGTCACTTCAGGCTGCAGTCTGAACGTAGCCATTATCACCTAAAATGAAAACCTGTGCTAATCTGTTGAAGTACTTGGATATTTTTCCAGTGTATTGATATTTGATATTTTACGATTTGTCGATTACTTAAAAATTTGTTTGTTTTGGATCATTTGAGATCATCTTTTCCATTTTTTTTATCTAATAAGGACCATAACATGATTTCTAAGTCTTTGAAGTTAACTATAGGCACATATATATGTATACATGTGTATATATGTGTGTGTATATATATATATATATATATATATATATATATATATATATATATATATATATATATATGTGTGTGTGTGTGTGTGTGTGTATATATATGTGTATATATGTTTGTATATATACCCTGTTCAAAAAAATTTAAAGAATACTTTGTAATCAGAGTGTACCATCAAGTTAATTAAACTTGTGGGATATTGATTTGGTCAGGTAAGTAGCAGAGGGGGTTCTTAATCAGTTTCAGCTGCTTTGCTGTTAATGAAATTAACAACAGGTGCACTAGAGGGACAACAATGAGAAGACCATCAAAACAGAAATGGTTTTACAGGTGGAGGCCACTGACATTTTTTTCCCCTCCTCATCTTTTCTGACTCTTTTTCACCAGTTTTGCATTAGGGATTAGGATTAGCCAATTAGGGATTAGGGATACTCCATTCGTAGTTTTTTTTGTTTTTGTTTTTACAACAATGATCTGAGTCATTTAAAGATATATGCCTGCATTTTTCCTCTGTTTCAATACAGTAGTCACTGCAGGCAACGTAAACATTGGAAACCCAGTATCCTTAAAGTTCAATAAAGCACAGTTTTATTTTATCCAAATTAACTTGTCACCAGTTGAACCCTGTCTGTGTTGTGTTGCACACCACTGTCCAACTTGCAGAAGCATATCTAATGCCATTTTCCAAGTAGTCAAAAGACGGTAGTTATTCCTTATCAGTGGTAATTTTATAAAGGCCCTAAAGGATAAAATGACATGCATGCATCACAATTTGTATTGCTGACAGGGATTCTGCACTCGACCAGCAGGGGATTTCATAAGCACATGAAGCTCCAAGAAATTATTCCTTGAAGCAACTGGCTGCAGCGGTTCACTGCCTCGTGAGGCCTCAACTCACCATCTTTACATATAAGTGTGAAAACACTCCACAGCTTAACATTATATGGAAAAGATCACTGTACAGGCATTGTTTTAGAATGGAAAATGGAAAACCCTTATGAAAGTGGAATGCTCCGCCCCCTCATTACATAAGGGGGCGGAGCATTCCACTGTGACATCATCATCCCAACATTCTATTGCTGATCAAAGAATCTAGCATAGCCAGTACTGACTTGGGTGCAGACAGAGCAGCAGTGTTTTTCAACGAGGAATCATTGACGAATACAGGACAGAGATGAATCGCTTTGATTCTATCAAGAAGGAATCAAGATTACCGCCTCTAAGTACCTGGGCAACATGTATCGCCGATAAAAAGGAGATACATCGCGAAAAATGTAAAAGAATTGTGGCTAAGCAACATGCTATGTCACAGAAAGAAGAAGCTGAAAAGAAAGACGATATGTACAGACGAATGCTTAGAACAACAGAAGAGGTGAAAGAAAGTAGGATATGGCTACAAAGAAAAAAGGAAAAAGCCGCTTTAAAGTCGCTTGGCCTGAATGATGTTCAGTGTAAATTACCATCTAAAGTAAGCAAGCCACTATGTATCGCCGATAAAAAGGAGATACATCGCGAAAAATGTAAAAGAATTGTGGCTAAGCAACATGCTATGTCACAGAAAGAAGAAGCTGAAAAGAAAGACGATATGTACAGACGAATGCTTAGAACAACAGAAGAGGTGAAAGAAAGTAGGATATGGCTACAAAGAAAAAAGGAAAAAGCCGCTTTAAAGTCGCTTGGCCTGAATGATGAAGCTCAAGGTAAAGATGCTCAGTGTAAATTACCACCTATAGTAAGCAAGCCACTATGTATCGCCCGTAAAAAGGAGATACATCGCGAAAAATGTAAAAGAATTGTAGCTAAGGATCTGGATATCTTACAGAAAGAAGAAGCTGAAAAGAAAGACGATATGTACAGACGAATGCTTAGAACAACAGAAGAGGTGAAAGAAAGTAGGAGATGGCTACAAAGAAAAAAGGAAAAAGCCGCTTTAAAGTCGCTTGGCCTGTATGATGAAGCTCAAGGTAAAGATGCTCAGTGTAAATTACCACCTATAGTAAGCAAGCCAAGAGATATCGCTCTTGAAAAGGAGATACATCGCGAAAAGTCTCTGCCTGAGGAATCTATGAAACATGACAGAAAGAGGATGGAGGGACCGATGAAAAAAGTAGCTGCGTCAAATGACTCTCTGGACAATAAATATCCTTCCCCACCAAGATCTAAAAAGCACACAAAGGAAGACCTGTGTGACACACAAGAGAAGACAAAAGGTAGGTTAACTGAATCAGCTAAGCAGGACTTGGTATCAAATGGTCCGAACGTTAAAGTTGTTAATCAAAGAACACCTAGAACATTACAACCTATACGGAGCGAGCAAACACCTATCAGCCCTGAAACCAAGAAACCTGATGAAAAATGTGAAAGAACTGTTTGTGATCTTCCGGATTTCGACAGACACATTCCAAATTCTGATGTACACGCCTGTCTTATGCAAATCCCCTATATTCCCATGGACAAGGAGGAGCGTAGTCCAGATCTACATGATCTTTATCCTACTTTGTTTCCAAGAAAAATCACAATTGCTGAAAAAGCCAAGATCCGGGAGGAAAGGAAAAAAGTTGTTTATGACCAAATTACAGATATAAACGCAAAAAAAGAAGCCGAGATGTTCCTAATGAGGATAAAGAATCATGAAGAAGAGTATTGGAAGAAAGAAAATGATGTGGATGATACCGAGCCAGAACCTCTTCACTATTATTTTGAAAGGTTAAGAAAGGAAAAAGAAGAAAAAATTAGAATTGAAGAAGAACAAAAAAAACAGTTTAAAGAAAAAATGGAAGCTGAGTTGCAGAAAGCCACGGCCGCACTTACAGAGGCAAGCAAACACAGGTATTACCGTAATTCAAATGTGCCATTAAGGTTTGAAGATCCTCCAATGCCACCACTTGTAATGATGCCTACAGACAGTCATCCAGAGCGAAATTGGATCTTTTAGTTAAATTTATGCACACCTTTACAGATAGATTCAATAACATAACTAATCCAGCAGCTTTGCACAAATTAATGGTTTTACTCACTTTTACACATTAGTTTTATATCCTCATTAGAATGTGATATTGATAGTATCCCCCTCTATTCCTTTCTTTTCCCTTGCTTTATTTTCCTTTTCTTCCCTTTCCCATCCTTTTCTTGCTTTAGATCCTTGTTAGATTAATTAATCTCTTCCGTTTAATTTTTTCTGTTTACGGTTCTCTCCGGGTTCTCCGGCTTTCCGAAAAAGCCCTTGTATATTCATGTTTGACAATAGAAAATTCTAAATGGTTGCAGGGATCAAAGTATTCTAGTCCAGGGCCGGATTTCTGGCTCGTAGCAATTGCTCATGGGTAAAAAAAAAATCAAAATACACTGTCGGCAAATCAATAAAAAAAGACAATCGAAATGCACCTTGCATTTGTCAGCCAGCGTCAACAAAGGTGCTCTCTGAAACTAACAGTATTAGCCAATCAGAAGAAGAAAGGGGCAGGTCTTAGGAAAGCGTGTACCTCCTCCTTTTGCCATCTTCTGGCCGTTTTTGGTATTGGATTTTTTAAAAGTCAAATTTAGTCTTCAGCCATTCATGCAATCTCTGATCCCATAACTATTTTCTAACCCATCGGGGGTGGAATGTGACATCCTCAAGCTCGGGTCCTCTACCACAGGCCTGGGAGTTTGAGGGTATCTTAGCTGTTCCTAGGACTGCACTCTTCTGGACAGAGACCTCAGATGTTTTACCTGGTATCTGCTGTAGCCACTCTCCCAGTTTGGTATTTCTCAAGCTTCTCGTGTTCTTTCTTCTTGATGTTGCTGTCGCTTGGGATTGCCACATCTATCACTACTGCCTTCTTGTGCTGTTTGTCGATCAACACGATGTCTGGTTGGTTAGCCATCACCTGTTTGTCAGTCTGGATCTTGAAGTCCCATAGGATCTTAGCTCGGTCATTCTCAACTACCTTGGGAGGTGTCTTCCATTTTGACCTTGGGACTTCCAGCCCATACTCATGGCAGATGTTCCTGTACACTATGATAGCTACCTGGTTGTGGCGTTCCATGTATGCACTTCCTGCCTGCATTTTATACCCTCTGCTGTTATGTGCTGTATTGTTTCAGAGGCATCTTTGCACAGTCTGCATCGGGGGTCCTGCCTGGTGTGGTAGACCCCGGCCTCTATTGATTTTGTACTGACTGTTCTTGTGCTGCCATGATTAGTGCCTCCGTGCTGTCCTTCAGTCCTGCCTTTTCCAGCCACTGGTAGGATTTTTTGATATCAGCCACTTCTTCTATTTGTCTGTGGTACAAGCCGTGCAGCGGCTTGTATACAGTCTCAGAGTGCTGGATTTGGGGTGGAACCCTCCATGCATTGTGAGGTGCTTTCTTGTCTTGACGTCAGTAGCCTCTATCTCCTCCTTTGGTATCTGATGACTGGTAGGGCATATGTGTTGATGGCTTGGATCTTGTTTTTCCCATTCAGCTGAGTTTTCAGGACCTGCCCTACTCTTTGTAGGTATTTAGCTGTGGCAGTCTTTCTTGCTATCTCCCTGTGGTTTCCGTTAGCCTGTGGCACCCCAAGGTATTTGTAGCTGCCCTGAACATCTGTAATGTGGCCTTCTGGTAGTTCACCCCCTCAGGTCTAATCATCTTCCCTCTCTTTGAGACCATGCGACCACACTTGTCTAGTCCGAATGACATCCCAATGTCGTTGCTGTAGATCCTGGTAGTGTGGATCAGTGAGTTGATGTCTCGCTCACTCCTGGCATACAGCTTGATGTCATCCATGTAGAGGAGGTGACTGATAATTGTTCCGCTTCGGAATTGGTTTCCGTAGCCAGTCTTTGTGATGATCTGGCTGAGGGGGTTCAGGCCTGTGCAGAACAGCCTATATATATATACACTATATTGCCAAAAGTATTTGCTCACCTGCCTTGACTCACATATGAGCTTAAGTGACATCCCGTTCCTAATCCATAGGGTTCAATATGACGTCGGTCCACCCTTTGCAGCTAGAACAGCTTCAACTCTTCTGGGAAGGCTGTCCACAAGGTTTAGGAGTGTGTTTATGGGAATTTTTGACCATTCTTCCAGAAGCGCATTTGTGAGGTCGCACACTGATGTTGGACGAGAAGGCCTGGCTCTCAGTCTCCGCTCTAATTCATCCCAAAGGTGTTCTATCGGGTTGAGGTCAGGACTCTGTGCAGGCCAGTCAAGTTCATCCACACCAGACTCTGTCATCCATGTCTTTATGGACCTTGCTTTGTGCACTGGTGCACAGTCATGTTGGAAGAGGAAGGGGCCAGCTCCAAACTGTTCCCACAAAGTTGGGAGCATGGAATTGTCCAAAATGTCTTGGTATGCTGAAGCATTCAGAGTTCCTTTCACTGGAACTAAGGGGCCAAGCCCAGCTCCTGAAAAACAACCCCACACCATAATCCCCCCTCCACCAAACTTTACACTTGGCACAATGCAGTCAGACAAGTACCGTTCTCCTGGCAACCGCCAAACCCAGACCCGTCCATCAGATTGCCAGATGGAGAAGCGCGATTCGTCACTCCAGAGAACGCGTCTCCACTGCTCTAGAGTCCAGTGGCGGCGTGCTTTACACCACCGCATCCGACGCTTTGCATTGCATTTGGTGATGTATGGCTTGGATGCAGCTGCTCGACCATGGAAACCCATTCCATGAAGCTCTCTGCGCACTGTTCTTGAGCTAATCTGAAGGCCACATGAAGTTTGGAGGTCTGTAGTGATTGACTCTGCAGAAAGTTGGCGACCTCTTCGCACTATGCGCGTCAGCATCCGCTGACCCCGCTCCGTCAGTTTACGTGGCCTACCACTTCGTGGCTGAGTTGCTGTCGTTCCCAAACACTTCCATTTTCTTATAATACAGCTGACAGTTGACTGTGGAATATTTAGGAGCGAGGAAATTTCACGACTGGATTTGTTGCACAGGTGGCATCCTATCACAGTTCCACGCTGGAATTCACTGAGCTCCTGAGAGCGACCCATTCTTTCACAAATGTTTGTAAAAACAGTCTGCATGCCTAGGTGCTTGAATTTATACACCTGTGGCCATGGAAGTGATTGGAACACCTGATTCCAATAATTTGGATGGGTGAGCAAATACTTTTGGCAATATAGTGTATATATATACACTATATTGCCAAAAGTATTTGCTCACCTGCCTTGACTCACATATGAGCTTAAGTGACATCCCGTTCCTAATCCATAGGGTTCAATATGACGTCGGTCCACCCTTTGCAGCTAGAACAGCTTCAACTCTTCTGGGAAGGCTGTCCACAAGGTTTAGGAGTGTGTTTATGGGAATTTTTGACCATTCTTCCAGAAGCGCATTTGTGAGGTCGCACACTGATGTTGGACGAGAAGGCCTGGCTCTCAGTCTCCGCTCTAATTCATCCCAAAGGTGTTCTATCGGGTTGAGGTCAGGACTCTGTGCAGGCCAGTCAAGTTCATCCACACCAGACTCTGTCATCCATGTCTTTATGGACCTTGCTTTGTGCACTGGTGCACAGTCATGTTGGAAGAGGAAGGGGCCAGCTCCAAACTGTTCCCACAAAGTTGGGAGCATGGAATTGTCCAAAATGTCTTGGTATGCTGAAGCATTCAGAGTTCCTTTCACTGGAACTAAGGGGCCAAGCCCAGCTCCTGAAAAACAACCCCACACCATAATCCCCCCTCCACCAAACTTTACACTTGGCACAATGCAGTCAGACAAGTACCGTTCTCCTGGCAACCGCCAAACCCAGACCCGTCCATCAGATTGCCAGATGGAGAAGCGCGATTCGTCACTCCAGAGAACGCGTCTCCACTGCTCTAGAGTCCAGTGGCGGCGTGCTTTACACCACCGCATCCGACGCTTTGCATTGCACTTGGTGATGTATGGCTTGGATGCAGCTGCTCGACCATGGAAACCCATTCCATGAAGCTCTCTGCGCACTGTTCTATAGCTAATCTGAAGGCCACATGAAGTTTGGAGGTCTGTAGTGATTGACTCTGCAGAAAGTTGGCGACCTCTTCGCACTATGCGCGTCAGCATCCGCTGACCCCGCTCCGTCAGTTTACGTGGCCTACCACTTCGTGGCTGAGTTGCTGTCGTTCCCAAACACTTCCATTTTCTTATAATACAGCTGACAGTTGACTGTGGAATATTTAGGAGCGAGGAAATTTCACGACTGGATTTGTTGCACAGGTGGCATCCTATCACAGTTCCACGCTGGAATTCACTGAGCTCCTGAGAGCGACCCATTCTTTCACAAATGTTTGTAAAAACAGTCTGCATGCCTAGGTGCTTGAATTTATACACCTGTGGCCATGGAAGTGATTGGAACACCTGATTCCAATAATTTGGATGGGTGAGCAAATACTTTTGGCAATATAGTGTATATATATATATATATATATATATATATATATATATATATGGACCAGGCCCGACGCGCTGCACCTGCTGCTCAAAACGCGCTGCGAGACCTTTTGCTGCGCCTATACGCGTGTCAACCATTGACTTTGCATGTAAACTCGCTGCTTCTGCTGCACCTGCTGCGTCCGGTTCACACCGATGTCGAGCGGTTGAATAACAGCGAGCACAGGGTTAATTTGTTTCACCATGTTTTTCACATCAGCTGTGAGATGGGCACGCATGGAGTCACATATTAACAGCGATGGTGAGGAGTGGAAAAAAACCACCTGGTCTCCATACATTCACCTCCCTAAGCCACTCTTTCATCATCTCCTCAATGAGGTGGTCTCAAAAGTCGCAGTTGCAACACACATAGGGCGCACCGCACATTTTGAGAGAAAAAAAAAGACGTTTATGTGCGCCTTGTAGTCGTGAAAATACGGTATATATATATATATATATATATATATATATATATATATATATATATATATAAGGCTTTTCATGGCTCATTAAAAAACATTAAAAGTTATATTATTTTTTAAATAAAGGGCCTTAATTGGCCTTAAAATTCATTATATGTGATTATCGTGGCATTAAAAATGCTTTACTTAAAAAAAAATTATAAAAACCATATCGTCCAATATATCAAAAAAAATAACTGGTTTGCGCGGAAATGTCTGTCAACGTTAAAGACGAAGGATTTTGTTGTGTTTTTTTATATATAAATGTATAAATAAATCTAGCTGTCTATCTATCAGTGTTGGGCAAGCCACTTGTCCAGTGTAGTGAGCTAAGCTATCAGTTACTCAACAATAAATTAAGCTTCACTACACCAAAGCTACCACCTAAAGAATTATAGCAAGCTAAGTTACACAAATGTGTTAACAGTAGCTTAATTACATCAGAAGCTACTTAACGTTGTACCAAGATAATGTCAATTCA